AGGACAGACTCAGTCCACAGTTCCCCCAACGAGACCCCGAAAAGACCGCGTCTCCGTCCGCCCGCACTTCACGCAGAACATCCAGGAAGGGGACCACGTGCGGGTCCCCACTACGCACGTAGAACCTGGCAGTTCCTCCATTGGGCCAAACTTGCCCGGCCCAATGAAGGAACCTTGGCCCAGCGCTGGGGGCTATAAATACCCTTTGTTTCCAGAGGGTCAGGTATTCATCATTCTAACCATACACTTGCTATTATCTGCTCGTACTCCTACTTACTTCAGCATCGGAGTGCCTTGCAGGTACCCCCCCCCCCCCCCACTTCGTTCAAAAAGCTTTCTGCCCGGAGTCAGCCGTGACGGTCCATTTCTGATCAGGTCAGATCATATATATATATATATATATATATATATATATATATATATATATATATATATATATATATAGTAATAAAAATCAAAGAGAAATTTGAAGGATAATGACTAAGATGGTAAGAGTTGAATCATACATCGAGATGTCATAGATTCAACTTTCATTGCCGATGTGAGAATCATTTTAATGGATGACTCTTGCTCTCAATGTGAGGATAATTTTAGTGGATATTCTATAAGTATCTCTATAAATGGTGTCAATGTGAGGATCATTTTAGTGGATAATCTATAAGTACTTCTATAAACGCTCTTTGAATCTTGAGACCTGCTCTGACCTTGGTGAGTTTCCGGAACCCAACTCACCTAAACTTTATTTTATAAAAAAAAGTTAATTTCACAAAAAATAAAATACCACTTTAATAAAAATAAAAATATACATTTTACTTACTTATAAAATGTAGGTTTAATAACATTCTTGGTTCCCTTATTTTCCCTGATTCACGAAACTAGTTTCCTTATTTTAAATTTAAACAGTTTTGGTCTCTTATTTTAAATTTAAACAGTTTTGATCCCCTCTCATACTTAAAATTAACGATGTTTTTATTTTTCAAGTGACAAATTATTTATAAAATATGACTAATCATTGTATATAAATTTATTATTGAACTTTGTAGATAAAAATATAAGTTTTTTTTAGCAAAGATAAAAATGTAAGTTAAAAAATAAAATTTCATCAATTTTATATGAAAAAACGTTAAAGGGAGACTAAAACTGTTTAAATTTAAAATAGGGTGATCAACACAGTTTGAATTTAAAATAGAGGGATTAATTTTGTGAATCGGACAAAATAGAGAGACAAAAACTGTAATTTAGCCTAAAATATAATATATTAAACTTATTTAAAATATAATAAAAATTTATAACAAATATCCTGAAAATGGAAATTTTTTGGTACCCTTAATTTCCTGACTACGGATGGCAGACATACCCAAATCCGCGGGACCCACCCACACCCGAACCCGAGTCAACGGGTGAAAACCTGAGTTGGCTGGGTTCAGGTTCAGATTCGAGTGTCACTCGATATTTCGAGTGCGGGTCCGAAACCACACCCGCTTAGACATTAAATTACATAACTACCCATAAAATTAAAATAAGTCAACAAGTGTAAAAATGTAGGGTTTCCTGCACTTCACAGTTTACAGACTATCGTTCCGCATCGTTTCGCGAGCTCAACCTTCATACTATGATCGTCGTTCTGCTTCCTGTAACGGCCCAGACTACCTTTGGGATTACTGATTGACCCTACAAACCAACACGGGTCTTTTCAGCATGCTTTATCCTCACTCACACGCTTTCTGAGAAACTTCCCAGAAGGTCACCCATCCCAATACTACTCCAAGTCAAGCACGCTTAACTGCAGAGTTCTTATGGAACGGACTACCGAAAAGAAGATGCATCGTAGTACCAATTAATCCTTATAAGCCTTCCTTCAACTATGCAGTCTCATACATGCATAGCCTCAGGATCCCTCTCATTCTGATGTGGCGACCACCTTTGCCCTCTTAGGCCTCGGGTGTTACATGCGGTGTAACCACTCCTCGTCCTTTTCCGCCACGAGTGTTGCACTTCCCACCTTCATCACTTCCATTCCAGTAAACCTCTGTCTTCTCTACAACATATGCCGACCTCCGCATCTTCAACATCCATGTGCATCTTCAACATCGCTACCTCCTCATAACGATTCTCTCGCTTTTCCATCACCACTAAGGTTATTTTCAATCACTTTATCACACTTTCTGCACAATTTGTTATTTCTTAATGGAAATGTATATTGAAATTCGTATTAGGTTTTTCTGTTGATACAAAAATATATATTGATAGTAGAAGAAAAACAATAAGCTTTTTGTTATAGGACGAGTCAACCATCAGTGATACTCGCCACTGCCAGCTATGACCATACCATTCGATTTTGGGAAGCCAAGAGTGATCGATGCTACTGCACCATCAAATATCTTGATTCAGTTTGGTTCATTTCTTCTGATTCCTTTTTGTTTTTGTAGTAACAGTTGAAACAACAACGGACACTGAGGCAGCTTCGAAACTCAGTTTGTTTCGACATCTTCCATCATCTTCCAACAACATCCAAATATCAACCTTCCACTCTCTAACAACAACAGTTGAAACAACAAAGGGCACAAGCAAAACGACAACTTCGAAACCCAGTTTGTTTCTTCTTCAACCGCAATTCATTTCTTCTTTCATTTAGTTTAATCAATGATTAATTTTTTTGAATTGATGAAATTGATGAAATCCTGATAGTATATAATGTATTAAGTTTTGTGAAAAAAATTATTATTGAATGTACTAATTTGAAATTCTGATAGTGTATTCTAATGAAATTCTGATAGTGTATAATGTATAATGTATTAATCTGAAAGTACATGTACACTATCAGGATTTAGAAACCTTGTGAAAAAAATAAATATTGTTACTGTTACAGGATTTATAAACCTTGATGAAATTGATTAAACCATGCATAGTGTATATTTGTTGAATCTTGTTGTTATTGAATGTGTTTAGTGCTGTTGTTTGTAATAGGTCAAATGGATAAAGTGAATACAACCCCAGTGCTGGAAGGAACATCTAATCCTACACAAGAAAGTACATGTCTATCAACCCTGAAGGTATCTTCTAATATGAGTCTGACACCTGAATATGATGTTGAGCAATAACAAGAAATTGATATAAGCTTAGAACCTGCATCAAAGAAACTAAGAAGTAATGTGCGACAAAAATTTAAAAAAATGAAAGTGAATGGACTAGATAAGACTGAATGCATATGGTATAAAAATCAACTTAGTGGCACTTCAAAGAATGAAACAAATCACTTGAAAAGACATCTCTTAAGTTGTATTAAAAAAAAGATCAAAAATAGAAACCAAGACAAATGAGAACCATTTCTCCTGTCTACTATCTCAGAAGGAAAGTAAGAGTTGGGAATTGGAACTTATGATCTAGAAAATATGAAGAAGTTGATTGCTGAAGCTATTATTATGCACGATTATCCACTATCAATTGTGGATCACGTTGGTCTTAGAAGAGTCTTTGTTGCTCTCCAACCATTGTTTAAAGTTCCTACTCGAAACACAATCAAGAAGAAGGTATTGAAAGTTTATGATTTTGAGAAAAAATGCGCTATGAAAATGTTAGATAGCCATGAAGGAAGAGTGACGATTTTCATAAATATATGGGTTTCAAGCAAAAAAAAAAAACGGTATACGACAGTTATAACTCACTGTATTGATGACTCGTGAACTTTACCAAGTCAAATATTGAGATGACAAAGTTTATATTTTATAATTTAATTGTATCTTTTTTTTGTTCTTAATGACAATATGATTGAGTGTAAATATTATTATGTTAGATTTATTTATGTTCTAGTATCATACTAATTGAACCCAGTATCATAAAATTACATTATTATCTTGTACAAAAAAAGAAAAGGGAGAATGCACTCCATTCCACTACATGATTTAAGTTTATAAAATTTCAATTACCAATTAGAGCCCACATAATGAAGCTACAATTACATATTGTCAACTAATTATTTTTTGTTATTCTATTGTGTTGAATGAAATGGAGTCAGACGATGAAGGTATTTTGTATTTTATTTGGTGTAAAAAATTTAAGCTTTGATGATTTATTTAACTTCAATTTACTTCTTAATACAACTGAATTGATGGAAAGTTGTTTGAGTTACCATTTTGAAGATTAAACGTTATTATTTTTATGCTTTAATATAGTGAGCATTGTTGTTTCTATGCTTTAACATTGTGAGTATTACTGATTTCAATTTTGCTTTAAATAACATTACTAATGACCTTAATGTGAACAAAACATGATGTCTATTTGAGAGAGCTTGCTTATGGAAATAGAATGATTGTGATTGGATTTTTTTGAAGACTATGTTACCATGTTGTTGTTGGAAAGTTGTAATTTAATCGCAGACTTTAATTTAAATTGTAATGTTAAGATGTTGAAGACCTTAATTTTAATTGTAATATTATCAAACTTGATGGAAAGTTGTAGACTTTAATTTAAATTTCAATGTTGATGAAAAATTGTAATGTTGTTGTTGAAAAGTTGTAGAAATATTAATGAAAAATTGTAATGTTGATGTAGGAAAATTGATGGAAAATTTTAATGTTGTTGTTGGAAAGTTGTAGGAAAATTGATGAAAATTTTTAATATTATTGTTGTACTTTATGTGTTTTACTACGGGTTCAGATTTATCCATATTCAATAGGTGTTAACGTGAGTGTTATTTTACCACCCAAATAACTTTTAAATTTGAATTTGAATTCGAATTATTATTTCAAATGCTGCAAATAACTTTCAAATCCCTCTGCCATCCCTATTTCCGACTCCTAAACATTTGAAGAGAGAATAGTCCACCTCTTATTTTCTTCCCCTCTCATACACTCCTTTCAATTCACGTCTCTTCTTACCTAATGCAAATATATATGAGAAAATAAATAAACAAACAAAAAAAAAAATAGAAAAAATATAGCAAGAGTATCGTTTTCTGTCACATTTTGGACGCGACCCCAAAAAAACAAACTATCAAAACAATGATCTCCGTAACAGACGCTCTCGAAACGATTCTTAACGCCACTAAACATCTTCCCCCAATTTCCGTTTCACTTCACGACGCCCTTGGCAAGGTCTTAGCACAAGATATTCACGCTCCTGATCCTCTACCTCCTTACCCCGCTTCTACCAAGGTTTTTCAAAACCCTCCCTCATTTCCCCTATTTTTATTTATTTCTCACTTACAAACGCGTTCGGGTCCGGGCTTGGGCTTGGGCTTGGGCTTTTGGTGTTGGAACAGGACGGTTATGCGGTTATAGCTGCAGACGGGCCTGGTGAATACCCGGTGATTGCTGAATCAAGAGCTGGTGACGATGCGGTTGGTGTTACCGTCGTTCCCGGAACTGTCGCTTATGTAACCACCGGAGGTGTTTAGTTTAGTTATTCAGTTTTAATTCCCAAAGTGAAAATTGATTGCGATTGTTGAAGTTTGTTAAGCTAGGTTTATTAATAGTTGTGATTTGTTTGTGTTGGTTCAGGACCTATACCTGATGGTGCTGATGCGGTTGTTCAGGTTGAAGATACTGAAAAAGTCAACAATACTTCAGATGAAGTTGAAAGGGTTAGGATATTGGTCAAAACCACACAAGGCAATGATATACGCCCAGTGGTGTGTGCTTGTTTCTTATCACTTCTTTAGAGTAGTTTAATTCTTTCCAGAATATTAACTCTATAAGTTATGAAACATATATAAGGACACTAGATACCACACTAATGACAATGGACTCAGACGTGTTTGTCGCATTTGTATCATCACACCACATAATGTAATGTATTCACACGTGTTAGTATTATCACAATTGACACACCTTCAATCACAAGTATTAGGGGCTTTTTTAGCTTATATAGGTATATCCATATACCGGTACATTGTTTTGGAGGCCTTGTATAATAATTTACTTGGCATACACACACTAAATCCTATACCCTAAACATTATTTAATACTATGCAACCAACATTTTAGGGTTTAGGGTCACATGTGTTATAGTTTAGGGCCATTTACCATGTCTGTAAGTTATATTATATAATCACGTGGGGAAATATTAACGGCGGTTCATTCTTCATTAATGCAATGTTCTCTTTTATGTGGATATTTTGATGTATTTGGTGGTCTATAATTTTGCGGTTCATCCAAAAAGTATTCATTGACAGGGAGTTGATATTGAGAAAGATGAAGTGGTCTTAACATCTGGAGAAATATTAGGTGCTTCTGAGATTGGCTTGCTTGCTACTGTTGGTGTGACGACAGTAAAGGTATTTTGTTTAGAGAGTTTCTTGAATCTATAGATGATCAGCTTTTTCCATGATGGAGAACTTGGGTTCTACTCAGTTCCTTCCTTGCACAGAGGCACTTACGTTACGTGTGCTCTTTTGTATTTATGTTTGAAGTTTTTTGTTGATTCAGGTGTATCCTACTCCAACTGTTGCTGTTCTTTCTACCGGCGATGAGCTTGTAGAGCCATCTACTGGGCATCTGGGTCGAGGTCAGGTATTGTTATGGAAAACTAGCACTGACTAGCACATGTCAGACAGTTCATTAAAGTTTTGTGAAGATGCCTAGCAGGAACAATCATTTTATAGTTATTATGAATTTGGATATGAATTTCTTACTATGTATGTGTATGTATTGTTCAAAAATTGGTGTACAACATTTTACTTATTTTACCATGTTACTCAACTAACCATTTGTTGGCTATATGTTTGAATTTTGGATGTAGTTTACAAGATTTATTTGGTAAATGTAATTAAAATGAACATAAGCTAATATACAGATCCCATGCAGATTAGGGACTCTAATCGTGCCATGCTTCTGGCAGCCGCAGTACAATATCAATGCAAAGTTGTGGACCTCGGTATTGCTAAGGATGATGAAGAATGCCAAGGAAGGATCTTGGATAAGGCTTTTGCTTCTGGAATTAACATTCTCATAACTTCAGGAGGTGTTTCCATGGGAGACAGAGATTTTATTAGGCCTTTGCTTGAAAAGCGAGGAAAAGTTCATTTTGATAAGGTTATGCCACAATTTTATTTGATTCTTATCGGTTATTCCTGTGATCCTGTAATTTGGTCTGGTGGTGCAAAGTGTATGTTGTATTTATGCAGATGTAGAAATAGTAAAATTTTGTCTAATGCTTTGGTGGGTGTGCTTTTATAAATCATGTTATCTTAACTCAAGATCATCTATCTTTCAGGTGTGTATTAAACCAGGCAAGCCATTTACTTTTGCTGAGATTGGTTCTCAATCAACAGGAAGTAAAATTATAGCTTTTGGGCTACCGGGAAATCCTGTCAGCTCTTCAGTTTGCTTTCATCTTTTTGTGGTCCCTGCTATACGCCATCTCGCAGGGTGGACAAATCCTCATCATCTGAGGTTACATAAACTTCTAAATGACACTTCTTATTGAGATGTCATACTTGCTTTCTCTAGGATTTCATTCATTCATTTCTGTGCAGGGTGCAAGCTCGGCTTCAACAGCCCATAAAGACAGATCAATTTAGACCAGAATATCATCGTGCCACTGTTATATGGACTCACAATGATGGAACAGGCAGCCCTGGGTAAGCTAATGATGGATTTCATTTTTGTGGTTTTTGTCAAACAAATATATGTACAAATATTATTTCATTATGGCATGTGTTTTTTTCGGGTTGTATTTACTTGTTTTCCCGAGGTGTAATTGCTATGCCTATATTTTGACCGGGTTTCATTGGCGAAAGAGCTTTATTTGTTGCCAATGAATATCAGTTTTGTTGCCGAAAGCACTGGTCATCAGAGGAGTAGTCGACTACTCAGCATGAAGTCAGCTAATGCCTTGTTGGAGTTTCCAGCAACAGGCCGTGTTGTATCTGCTGGGACCCCAGTTGAAGCTATCATAATTTCCAACTTAAAACCTGTGAGTTTCGGCAAGAATCATACATCATCAGATTCAACCTCTGCTTTGCCAAGAATTAAATCAGATAAAATAACTACAGATTCTTCTGTGGGTGTTGACCTCAGAGTGGCTATTCTTACAGTAAGCGACACAGTTGCTGCAGGGGCTGGCCCAGATCGAAGGTATTGTTGACTTTTGTTTTATATTTTATTATCTGGGGTTGCGCAAACAAAGAAACATGCACAGTGAGGAAGACCGGGACTAAGCATTTCTGTAACCCATTTGGATTTCATTGTTAAACAAGCTGAGACCATAAATTTATTTTTGTGGTTTGCAACCAATTTTATGTGGAACATTTAAAAGCTAAAGCGCTAGTTTTTGCACTTTCCACATCAGGCAATTTCTAGGTGCTTCTAATTCACTGGACATCTTTTTTATGAAACAAACTTGTAAGCGACATGATTTTACAAAAATTCACCGGACATCTTTTTTTATGAAACAAACTTGTAAATGACATGATTTTAACAAATGTTAACGAGCTATTGACCATATTCAACATATTTGTTATTGTCTTGCAAGGCTAGCTGTGAGTTTTTGTTGTTTCTTGTTAATTGGGTGCATCTAGTGTACTCCTTCAAATCAAAGAAAACATTTATGTGTATGCTAGAGGAATGGAGGAACACAATGTTTTTCTCAATAAAGCTAGATCTGGTATTGTCATACTCCATCCGTTCCAAATTATAAGACGTTTTAAGTATTTCACACGAATTAAGAAACTTAATTATTACCGTATGGGAAAGACAACTATGTATGACTTTATAGTAATGCCCCTCATAATTACACAGGAAAGAAAAATTAAAAGAGTTAAAAAATGAATAATAATAAATACTTGAGGGTATATTAGGAAAAAATTATAAATGTTGCATTGGAAATGTAAGGTGACTTATAATTTGGGACAAATTGTTTTTGCAAAGCATCTTATAATTTGAGATAGAGGGAGTAGTTGTTAAATCATCTTCCTAGTTGGATAAGGCTGAATGGCATCTAGATACACCTCTTTTAATCATTATTTGAATTAGGTCACAAAGTTGATGTCAAACTAAAGCGCAAACTTGATATTAGTCAATGCCAAAAGGGGCATTGGATGTACTGAGTGTTCTGCAATAGTCTCGAAGTTTGAGCTTTAGAAGATAAACATTTCTGTTTAGTTTCTGTTTTAGGCGTGGATATATTTTCTTTAGAAATCAGCCAGCCTTATTTACGTGGTATCAGCTAAGTTTCATATTATTGAATTTCCACTTATGTGTTACACTCGAGGTTTGTCACTGTTTTTATGCATGACTGTACTTTCCTCTTATATCTTGTTTGTTCTTCATTTTCTCTCTCTTTTTTAAACTGCCTGTTTGCCCATTATTGCTTTGCAAGTTGCCCATTATTGAGAGCTGTAAAGTCTTTTACCAAAATTTATACATATCATCATGGAAGAAAGGGAAAATTTGATCACAATAAGAAAAAAATGTTTCACTGAGCAAGTTGCTCTACACCCCAGAAACAGTCTTTTAGGGTGTGTTGGGGAGTTTGGAGGGGAAGGGAGGGGAGGGCTTTGAAAAAAGGGAAAGATTGAGTGGAAAGAATTGAAGGATTTTGGTTGGGAGAGTTTGCTTTTATTCATAACACCAAAACCCCCCTAATTTGGGGAACTCAAAATTTGTATTGAAGGAGGGCTTTGGAGAACTTACCTAAAATTTTCAAATATCTTTTATGTTATAGTATTCTGAAAATTAAAAATATAGTAATGATAAATACTCTTTTATCATTCTATACAAAATTAATTTTTTTAAAAATGTCAAATATTTTCCTATATTTTTTTAGAAATTCGTTTTCGGAAGCCTTCCCCTCCCCTCCAAACTCGCAAACAAAGCCTTAGTCATCATAGGGTTAGGTATTCTTTCTTATAATTTTCTATTTGGGCATGTTACTAGATTTCAAACTCGTAACATTTTCTGCTGGAACTTTTGGTTTCAAGTTGATTAGTTAGGAAAAAAGTTATGCTATCAAGCTCTTAGAGCTCGAGGATGATGGCCCATGGTCTTTATTTGTGAAATTTTGGCATTTATTAAAGTGCATTTGTTCTCAATAAAGCTAAATCTGGATATGATATCTCATGTACTACAGCATTTGTATGCTATTGAAAAAGTTATATCATCTGGTGTTGTAATAATTGTTGAATCATTTTCCCAGTCGGATAAGGCTGAATGGCATCTAGATACACCTCTTTTAATCGTTGTTTGAAAGAGGTCACAAAGTTGATGCGAAAGTAAAGAGCAAACTCTATATTAGTCAATGCCAAAAGGGGCATTGGATATACTGTTCTGCTACATTCTCGAAGTTGGAGCTTTAGAAGATACAAATTTCTGTTTAGTTTATTCTGTTTCTGGTGTGGAACTATTGAATTTTGAAATCAGCCTTGTCTACTTGGTATCAGCTTAGGCTTCATATTATTGAACTCCCACTTATCTTATGTTTAACACTTGAGGTTTGTCGATGTTTCATTTATGTAATAGGACTGTACTTTCTTTTTTATGTCTTATTTATTCTTCATTTTCTCTCTTTCTTAAACTTCTTGTTTGCTCATTATTGCTTTGCAAGTTGTTTTGAGAGGTGTAAAGTCTTTTACAAAAATTTACTCATATTATCATAAAAGAAATGGTAAGTTCAATCACAATAAGAAAAAAATGTTTTACTGAGCAAGTGGCTCTATCCCCCAGAAACAGTCTCTCGGTCATCCTTGGGTTAGGCATTTTACTTTTGATGTTCTATTTGGGAATGTTACTAGATTTCAAAGCTGTAAGCCTTTTTATTTGGAATTATTGGTTTCAAGTCGAGTCGTTAGGAAAAAAATATTATGTAAGCAAACTCTTAGAGCTCAAGGATGATGGCCTGTGGTCTTTATTTTGTGAATTTTCTGCATTTATTGAAGTGAAATTTCTCTGAAGATTTCCCCAAACCAAAGTTAGTGGAAATGGAATGGAATAGACAGATTACTTGAAGTTTATTAGTATTTTTGCCTTCGGTGACATAATGATGCTAGTTATTTTGATTGGAGTTATCTGATTACATAAGAACAAGTTTTTCAAAGTGAAAAAATGTCATGATGCTTGTTTGCCAATGTTTTAAAATCCTAACTGAATATCAAACTAGCATGATCTCTATGTCACGGGTTTGATTAGTTCAACTACTTGCAATTTTGGTCAAACCATAACTGAGCCAGACAATGTAATATGGAGTAGTTGAACAAGGATACACAGACGGTTCATGTTTTTATTGTTTCAACCGGCAGTCCAAGCTTGTTTTTAAATAGTTGTTACTATTAACATTAAAGTTTGCTGACTCCTTTACAATTAAACAGTGGTCCAAGGGCAGTTTCCGTTGTTAATTCTTCTTCAGAAAGGCTAGGAGGTGCCCGGGTTGTAGCAACTTCTGTTGTTCCAGATGATGTGGCAAAAATTCAGGACATTCTTAGAAGATGGAGTGATGATGAACAAATGGATCTTATAATTACTCTAGGTACATTTCTATGTAACCTATCAGTTTTTCTAAAGAGTAAAACTTGTAGTCGTGTTGAGTTGACTTCCATTGTTTTTGTCTTTGCCAATCAAGGTGGGACTGGCTTTACCTCACGAGATGTAACACCGGAAGCTACAAAAGAGTTGATTGAAAAAGAAACACCTGGTCTTTTGTATGTAATGATGCAAGAGAGTTTAAAGGTTTGGGCAGCTATGCTTATGTTAGTCACCTTAAAAATAATAGTTATATAGTTGTAGTATGGTGTGGTTTCTCATATTCTTACTTTCAGAATTTTTTAGACGTTTTTATTTTCCAAATTAATGTTCAAAGAACTCTACTAGACTGATTAGTTGTGCTGGTCAGTCGACTATCAATTTTTATCGTGTGTCTGTGACTCAGAAAAGAAGCCTAGAAATTTAGAGTAATGCTACTTTTGTGAACTGTTATTTGCAAGCTTCTTGCAATGATATTGGGTTGGACGCGAAGTGATAACTAAAACACATTCATTTGATAAAAAGTAAAAAATGATCTAGGACCCATTTGTTTCAGTTTAAAAAAAAAAAAAGATTTTTATAGTGTTACATAATTTTGTTTAATTAATAAAGGAAGATTTTTTTAAAAAAAGTCAATTGAAAAATTGGTTTAAATAGTTTTTCTTAAAATGTTACTTTAGGTATTTCATCATTTTACTATAATTTTTTTTGGATATCAAAATTTCAAAAAATCACTTAAATTTGAAGCTATTTTGAATAAGTTTTCATAAAAATCATTTGAGATATATATTTTTGAAAAGTTATGTGATGATTATGTTTTAATCTTCAATAATGTATATTTATGTTATTGGATATAAAAATTAGTCTTTTAATTTATAAAAAATGAAAGTTATAACAAGTATAATTTTTGAAAGTTATAACAGATATTGTACTGTTTCCAGTGATATATAATTCTCGTGTCTTGGCATGAATAGGTGACTCCCTCGGCAATGCTTTCACGCTCTGCAGCTGGAATCAGAGGATCCACCTTGGTAAGTCATAAACACAAAATTTTCTGTCTACTTTGATAGTATAATGAATGGAAGCTGAGTTTTGGCTCTCAACACAATTTTCTCATCAGTTTATTCATACATTTGTAACTGCTTTGTGACTAAGTTATGGTCTTTGATATGTCGATATTCAGATCATTAACATGCCGGGAAACCCGAATGCTGTTGCTGAATGTATGGAAGCTTTATTGCCAGCACTTAATCACGGTCTTAAGCAGCTCAGGGGATACAAGAGAGAGAAACATCCTCGTCACATTCCTCACGCTAAAGCAGTTCCTACTGATGTTTGGGAACAGAGTTATTTGTTAGCCACTGATGGTGGTGGCTCTGAGGTTTCTTGTTCCTGTTGTAAGTAAATTTGATTTTATTTTCTCGTTTGCTTCCCCTTTTTGCCCCCAAGTATTCTTAGAGTGAATCGGCTATGTTTACTATAATGATGGTGAGTGGAATGGATGAGATGAAATAAACAAAATGTGATAAAATTACCTTATTGTTATTTGAATATTTAATATTGTAATAAAATTGAATGAAATAAAAGAGAATATAGATGCTTGTTTATGAAATATAAAATATATCTACATGACAATTGAACTGAAATACAGTTGGCAGAGTTTGAACTATATGTGAAATTTTATTCTTTTATTGGATATATGCATTTAAACACAAATGAAAATAATATAATGTAATGTTCACAAATATTACTACATCAATAAGGAAATAGTAGCATGTCTTCGAAGTTAAATTCTCCCAGAGATGATCCAAATGTATTTCTACAATAAAGCCCAAGTCCCACAACCAATATGATTAGCATGACCCAAGCGACCAATTTCTTCCATTTCTTAAGACCTCTGGTCGTATCTCCAAGGGCCTCATTTTCATTTTCATCTTGATTAGAGAGAGCCTTAGGGAGAGTGAAATCTACAAGCCTGGTTTTGGATCTTGCAACAGACTTTGCATCTTTGGTTTTAGGAACTTTAGCGGTTGCTGCATCTGTTTTTTCAGTTGAGCCACTAGTCTTAACTTTCTCAGCCACTTTGTCCATGCTAGCTTCTGTTTCTGTTTTGCTCTTTTCTGTTATCGAATCCTTCTCCTTGTGGGGCGGTGGTGTGTTTTGATCAGAGACTTCGTTAGTCTTTGTTTCTGCTTTCTCTTCTTTGCCCTCTTGAGCACCCACTTGCTCATCAGCCTTTTGTGATGTTTCCTTTGACCCCAGAGCTTCTTCTGGTGGATTTGTTGTTGTTTCATTTGTTTCCTTTTTCTCTTCTTTAGCTTTTGCAGTACCCTCTTGAGGACCTTTTTGCTCATCAACCTTTTGTGACGGTTCCTTTGCCGTTGTATTATCTTCTGGTTCCTCAGGCTTAGTAAGTTTGGCAAATTTGACAGTTAACTTGCCACCCTCAAATGTTGCAGTCACACTGTCTGTGTCATAATCAGAAGGAACAGGAAATTCTAATTTAAAACGACGCCATCTATTAAGATAGACTGGTCGTTCACCCATCAGCCTTAGGGCAGGTTTTGAGGTTACTTGAACCTTCATTTGATCCCTTCTAAATCCTGCATGTTAAAAACTTGAAAGTATAAGAAATTATGATAACATGAATTTGGCCAGTACCGTGATTTATTAGTATATGGTGATAAAATTTTAATAAATGTGTTATAGGATTCTAAGATTTTTCATTTTTCCTTTCAAAACTTGAAATAACGTGTACCTGGCAGCGTAACTGTGAAACGCCCATTGTATTTATCCCATTCATGAGATGGTTCAAAGTCTTCATAGACACGATCAGCTTCTGTCTGTCTCATTGTTTCCATTATTTCTCTTTTGCTTTGCTTTTATGTATCTTTGTCTGAGTAATTGAATTGAATTGAATTGGTCACGGCATGATGTTCCTTTTATACTCATTGAGTTTATGAGAAACGTATTAAGCATGCATTTTGCAATATTTCTGTTTATTTGGTTTATTACTTGCTTTTCGTGCAAACGTTACTCATGTTATTTCTGTTTATGACTTTTGTCTGTCTGGTGTAACAAGAAAAAGTAATATGCTTTAGCAACAAATGAGGTGACCTCGTATATTGGTAATGCTAAAACCTAAAACTACTATTTTTTTTGTTCTTACTTCCATTTTTTCCCCCGACAAACTAGTTTAGAGGCTTTGCCTTCAGCTCAAGACACGAGCTACATGTTTTCATTTTCACTCATTTTTTCTTATTAAAATTATTTTAAAGTTGATTCAATAAACTGAAATAAACCAATCAAACCTGTATTCTTTTGGTTCGGGTATCTGTTGAACATCATACAAAATTGATCACTCAAAATCTTAATCAAGTTATTATATTTTATTATTACTTTTTATTTGATATTATATAAGTATTTTTTTTATCTTATGTAAAATGTTTTACTAATATTAATCGTTAGTTGGTTCAATGATAATTGGTATTGAATTTGGTAGAGAGGATCAATGGAGAACATATTTAGAACTATTGCGGCAAGAATAAAATTAATCTTGTAAGATAAATTTAATATTATTTTAATGAGTTAAACTCTAACACTTTACATTTAGATTTTATTCAAACTGATATTATCTAGACAAAACAACCCCAACATATTGTTATTTTTAAGTTTCTCATGTCTAGTCTTACCACATATTCAACATAACATCTCTATCTCTGTTACATTTATTTTATTCTTCTAATGGCTCTTAACCATTAAAGATTATGTCCCGTACAATATTATAGATCTTATTGCAGTCCATTAAATTTTTTTCATTTAATTTGAACGATACTTTTGGGTCACATAAAACCTTTGAAGTTCTCTCTCATTTTAGCCATCCAACTGAATTCAATGATTTACACCTTTTCTATTTCTCCATTATTTTGTATTACAGATCTAAAATATTTAAATCACGTGACTTGTGGGATAATATGATTTTCAATTTTCACTTTTAAATTAGAAACACTTCTTATTTTGTTGAACTTATATTCCATATACTCTTTCTTATTTTTCTTTCAATCACTCTTTCCATAACTTTATGGTATATGACTCATAAGTTTGACCCATCTATAATTTACACAATTTTGTATATTCCATTTGTTATATGAATTCGAACTAAAATATTTTTTTCTTCATTCATGACATTTATTTTGACCTCATACTTTTATTTAAGAGTTTGGTGAGCTATTCAATACCTCTATTTTAATCTAAAGCATTCAAGTAAAATTAAACCTATATGTATACACGTGATATATTTTTCGGAAATACAAATATAAAAGAATTAATATACTTAAATATGTATTTTTTTATTTTAAAAAATGAAAATGATCTAGACTCTTATGTGGAAATATCATTACTAAAAAAAAAGTTGTGACAAGGGACCACATTTGAATGTGATGTTGCAAAATCGTTTAGGATAAATAAAAGTATCACATTTGATTCCTTGAAGGAAATAAATCATGATAAGATGATACCTAAAAAGTGTCAAAATGATGGTTGAAATTGATTATGGGGTTGCTATATTCAATGGGCATGGATGTGTTCAATATGAGATTCCATACTTGCAGATTATATTGGCATGTAAATGTTGGCCTTTGTCTACATCCATTTTGAGTTAAACACTGGTGGTAGGATTCAATAACAAGACTAGCATCAACTTGAGAATAAACTATAATCTACCTCAAATTGAGCTATCAATCACAATCTTCCTTTTCATTTTTCTACATTTGTATCAATCCAATACTTTGTTTCATCAATATTCTATGATAGTCTCCAACTTTATATAACGATGATCAATTTAGTCTTTAGTTTAAGTATTAGGATACATTTTGTAATACTTAAACAATTAATACATGTTTTTAGTAAAAAGTATTAAATAGTGCAAGGATATCGAAGTATTATACTAATATAGTTTGATTACATTTCGCAGATAATTATATAAATATATAGATAATTAAACTCATTATTTTATTCTTTTATTGAATTTATTTATACATTTATAAGAATTAATATGCATATGGGATTAAAACTCTTTTGATTCTCCTTAAGATGATTTTGACGATGTCCAAAATGCATTTTTAACATATACTCCAATCACCAAAACCAACAAGGTTGCCACAAACTTGTTCATCAACATCTTCCCCCTCTTAGGCCTCGTGACACCAAAATCAAAACCTACTTGATCAACATCCTTATCATCTCTTGATCTCAAACTTATATTAAAATCTAAAACTCTTGTTTTCAATCTTTGTGTTATCTTGCCTTGATGCTTTTTCTGAATTTCGCGAGTTTTAACAACTTCCTTCGTCTCCGATGACTCATCATTAGTCTTCACATTCTTTTGATCATTTTCAACTTGTTCCTCAATTTTGTTCTTTTCTTTTTCATCACTAATTGGTTCCGTTTCTTTTTCCTTTGGCGTCTCTCGTTGTTCATCAACCACTTGTGCTTGTGTTGGCGCCTTAGGTTCATCACTATTTTGGTGCGCAATTGAAGCTTGTTCTTGTGGTGGATTCGTGATAGTTTCTTGTTCTTGAGGCTTATTATCCGGGGTGATCAACTTGGGAAACTTGATTGATAGCACTCCACGTTCAAACTTGGCATTCACATCATTGGTGTCACAATATGGAGGAATTGGAAATTCTTTACCAAAACGATGCCATATATTCTGAATCCCTTGTCTTTCACAATTGATCCTTAGAACACCTTTTGAAGTCACTTGCACCCTTAATTGTTCCTTTGTGAATCCTACTATTTTATAAAATTGAAAGTATACAAGAAAATGAGAAATAGTTTATAACAAACATAAATGACATTTTGACAAATATTCTGAGCATAAATTTCAAATTGAAGCTGATTAACATATTTTAAATATGTGATGATAACTACGATTTTGAACAATATAAACTATACCTGGCAGCATTAGGATAAGAGTGGCACTTGCTTCATCTTCAGTCCATTCAAAATAAGGTTGCAAATCTTTGTAAACACGTTCAGGTGCTGATTGTGACTTTTGAATTTGATCCATTCTTGTTAATATTATTATGTATTTGAGACTTTTCTATTTATGTTTGAGAATGAAAGCTCTTGGAGTGTTACTTTTATATGCATCATTTGAACACTATTATGCATTGTTCATGTGATTTTTAATTAGTTATTGTAATTTACTATTGGTTTTATTACTTTCTTTTCGTGCAAACATTGTTTTTTTCTCTGTAATCAAAGCTCTAATTGAAGGGAAATTATATGCTTTGGTATCATTCGGAAGGTGACCTTGTCTTTTGGCATTGCTATGACCATAAAGGGATGGGATATTATTCCTTATTGTAAAATATTTAATATAGGACAAAGATAAGGATTTTATCATTTATTTAATTTAAAAAAAGATATTTTTATAGACTGAAATAATTTTAGGAGATTTCTTTGTATATTTTTATATGGGTAAAAAATATCTCTGAAATCTCTAAAATAGTCTCCGGATATATATATATATATATATATATTTGAATGAACTTTTAAATCAATTTTCAGGGGGTTTTCATATATGCATATCCGAAAATCCTTTGTTTACACGTTATAATTATTTAAACGTTGGATTTAAACATTCAGTGGTATATTCAAATATGTATATCCGAACGAAACCTTAAATTAATTTTCAGGGAGTATTTGAATAATAATGTTGTATCTCCTAGATATATGGATGTAGTTTTTAAGAGGATTGGTTTTGCGATCCAAAAAGGAATAGTGGCACATCTTGTTGCTCGTTTGCCTTATATTTATGTATTGACCTAATAGCTTATATATGATTAACAGGGTTATAGGTTATTTACATGTCATAGCCCATATTTCTCATATGAGGGCCTCCTACTGCATGGAGGATATACTTAGGGGACGTGTTACATGATGGGTGCTTGATGAAGACATGTCATGTGTCGCCCCATTTGTGGCCTTTACAAATATATCACTACACTCTACAATGGTTCAATACTCCCTCGATCATAAAATATTTTCCATAAGCATGGCCCAATGTCGTAATAACCATCAAACTTTGGAATGTTTGGTAGGCCGTGATTTCCTTCCGACTTTGAAGCTAGTTGCAGTCACATTCAAGAACGCCAAAGAATGCTTTACACGCCTTAATGTTGTAACATCTGTGTTTTCACCCATAAAGGTGCACTAAAAATGAACAAATTGTCACTCTAATCTTGTAGAATGAATGGTGGATTTGATACCAGTTATTATGATAGAAAATTATGCATTCAAGACATCACTTTTAATTTTAAGGGCCAAAGGCATTAATACAAAACTTGAAGTTGAGAAATTTGCATGGAAGAGTTTTGGATTTGAGAAATTTGACTATATAAATAAAATAGTTTAAATTTAAATAAAACTTAATTATTTATTTTCTAGATTTTTTTTTATCAATATCTTAACATGAAACATGCAAAGTGATGCAAAATGTGTCATATTAAAAATTAAACACCTGAATATTTATTATAGATTGTTGCGGGAGGTTTTGTTGATAAATATGGATGATGATCTTGTGAGGACATGTGTAGAGATTCCTTGATGTACCAAGACTATTCTAAATTTCCAGTCATCCCACCTCACGGTGATGACCATGGGATTGTCGTTGTAGGGATTAATATTTGTTGCATCCTTCTATAAGAAAGCAATCTTGATTTTTGGCGTATTGGTCTCGCCTTTCTTCGGATTTATGGGAAGATCCTCTATATTTAATATCCGACTGGCATATCTTCTTTGGGAGGAGCTATTATCTCCACCACCAACAAATCCTCGAGAAATAGTATTGAGCCTATAGCCTACAATCTTATCGCCCTATTTTTTGGATGGTTTATTTCCCTTTTTGGATCTGGGGCTTCCTGCAACGTCACGGTCACAGAAGTCTTCTATGTGATATCCTTTAAACTTGTGAAACTTACACCATCTTCCAAGCTCGGGTCCTATATCATATGCTTTTAGAGTTGGAGGCACAGAGATATCATGTAAGTGGATAAGCTCCCGCCAAATTTTTTTACTATGAGTGTTTAGAAGCGTGAAGCCCTCCACAACTTTTACATCTTGATTAAACATCATTTTATCTTTAATGGGAAAGGTCTAGTTATTCTTCCATGAATGTTATGAGCCTTCGGCATTGAGAACCTGCTCTTTTATGTCATGGGCCTTCTTTTCGATGTTACTTTCCTTGCCCTTTATGTAACATCCACCCTTGTGACCACCTATGCTAACAAAGATGTTGGTCTTTTGGCGTCAAAATCATTGAAATGCCATGCTTTAAGGCCATTTTGAAATTATCTTACGGACATTTCTTTGTTTAGGTGGACAAATTTTATGATGGCCTCGTTGAAATGGGTGAAGGACCTTGTTGAATGTTAAGCTGACTGGCGGTAGACATCTTTCTATGTCGATTGGTTGTGAACTAGTGTATGATTTTATTCACTAGCTCATAGTAACTAGCTATAGAAGCTTGGAGTAGGCCATGTTCACTACGCCAAAAATAAGTTTTAGCAGCACATAAAAGAAAGCGATTTTGGAAAAAAGCGCTGCTGTAGGTTTTAAAAAAAAATCGTTTAAAAAAACGCTTTCAAAGGGTGCTTTAAGAAAGCACTTTTCAAAAGCGCTTCTAAAGGTCACCCTTAGAAAGCGCTTTTTGGGAAGCGCTGCTAAAGCTGGCCTTTCAGAGGGTACCTTAAGAAAGCGTTTTTCAAAAGCGCTGCTAAAGGTCAGCCTTAGAAAGCGCTTTTCCAAAGCGCTGCTAAAGCTGGCCTTTAGAAAGCGCTTTTAAAAGCGCTGCTATAGGATATGCTACGAAAGTGCTTTTTGATGTAAAAGCGCTGTTATAGATGACCTTTAGAAAGCGCTTTCATAGGTAGTTTTATAATAAATATCAAAACACAATTCGTATCACTTTTCTATTCTCAGTCAGATTTTCTTCACGAAAAAACCCTAAACCAGAGCTTCTACGACGGTCAACGGCACTCCACTTCTCCGGCCAACTGCAATTTGTATCAGGTTTCATTTTTTTCCTCATCTCGTATGTGTTTGTCTGGTTTTCGTGTGCTTTTGTTTGGTTAATGATTTTGAGCAAGCATGGTTTCTACTGTCATAGAAGTTATTAAGAAGTTGTGCATAGAAGTAACATGCTAAGAGAGAAATAATGGAGAGTAACATGCTAATAGAGAAATAATGGAGAGTGTCACACATAATGGAGAGTGTCTTTGTTTACGTTTAATTATGTCATGGGTGTTTGATTTGTTGTGTTTTATTGGTTCTTTCATGTACAGAGAACATGACTTCTTTAGAGGCATTGAAATAATACTATGATATTATTGTGAACCAGAAAAAAATGCTTAATTAATTATATAGACTTACATTAACAAGTTGTGCATTGGTAAAATAAGCTAAGAGAGAAATAATAGAGAGCGTAACAAAATATTTAATAAAGGTAGCCATATTGTTAACTCTATTAATATATTGTTTTTTTCGTGTGCTTTTTATGATTGATTTTGAGCAATGATGGTTTCTTGTTTATGTGTTCTACTCGTCTCTTTTCTTGGTAGGAATGTATTATACTTGTGTACTAAAGTAGTTGATAGAATAAAATGAATTTAGTGAAAAGTTTTGAGTATTGGTTTTGTTATATGGTTGTGCAAGAGCAAGTGCAAGTTTTGAGTATTGGTTTTGTTTTCGAATTTATCATTTAGCTCAGATTGACTCAGAAACCGTAAACCATGGATAAGACATAGATGTATTCCAATCGATTATCGAAAGAGTACGAGAACGGGGTATCGAAATTCATTAAGTTTGCTGTTGCGCACGCCGAAGACCCCAATCGAATGACATGTCCTTGTTTGTGTTGCTGTTATGGGAATCGGGTTAACGCGGTTCAGTTGGCATCGCATTTAATATGGTATGGAATTGATAGAAGTTATACATGTTGGAATATGCATGGTGAGAAAAGTGACGGGAATGATGAATCGGGGGATAATAGGACCTATGCTTCAAACGACAATGGCACAAATACATAAGATTATGATCGAGTTGAAGAGATTGCAGAAGCGCTTGAAGAAGATCTTAATGATTGTCCCAAAATGTTCGAGAGGTTGGTAAATAATGCAGAGAAACCGTTGTATAATGGTTGTACAAAATTTACAAGATTGTCTGCGGTATTAAAGTTGTACAACTTAAAGGCGGGAAATGGATGGTCGGATAAAAGTTTCAGAGTTATTAGCCTTTATGAAAGATATGCTACCAGAGGATAATGTTCTCCCCAATCGAACGTATGAGGCCAAAAAGATGTTGTACTCTATTGGCATGAGCTATGACAAGATACATGCCTGTCCAAAAGATTGCGTTTTGTTTCGAAACGAGTATGAATCGTTAAATGAGTGTCCTAAATGCGGTGCGCCTCGATATAAGAAAAAGTTATCTCCGGCAAAAGTCTTATGGTATTTTCCTATAATTCCGAGATTTAGACGGATGTATCATAGTGAAACCGATTCAAGATACTTAACTTGGCATGCAGATGAAAGAATTATTGATGGAAAGTTTCGACATCCGGCAGATTCACCACAGTGGATGAAAATTGATAATGATTATCTTGAATTTGGAAAAGAAGAAAGAAACCTTCGCTTGGCATTGTCTACTGATGGAATGAACCCACACGGTATTCAAAGTATCTCGCATAACACATGGCCTGTGATTCTTATGATTTATAACCTACCTCCGTGGCTATGTATGAAGTGTAAGTACACGATGTTATCTATGTTAATTTCTGGGCCTAAACAACCAGGAAATGACATAGATGTATATTTGGAACCTTTAATCGAAGATTTGAAGATTTTGTGGGAGATCGTGTAGGCAAGGATCAAGTTGTTAATCCTGATCTTCAACATGTGTATGATGAATATGTAAGTATAAGATTGTGTCTTTAATTAAATCAAATGTTTATTAATATTTAAATAATTTTTTATCTCCACTAATAATTTTAGATATGTAAATGAATTA